ATGCAGTTCCTCATGTTGTAGTGACCTCCAACCATAAAATTATTTTTGTTGCTACTTCATAACTGTAAATATTGCTACTGTTATGAATCCTAATGTAAATATTTGATATGTAGGATGTATTTTCATTCAGTGGATCAAATACCCAATACATCCAAATTTGAATACTGTTGGGGTTGGGGAGGGATTGATCTTGCCATTTGGGAGTTGTAGTTGCTGGGATTTATAGTTCACCTACAATCAAAGAGCATTCTGAACTCCACCAATGATGAAATTAAACCAAACTTGGCACACAGAACTCCCAGGACCAACAAAAAATACTGGAAGGGTTTGGTGGGCATTGACATTGAGTTTTGGAGTTGTAATTCACCTACATCCAGAGAGCACTGTGGACTCAAACAATGATATGAATGGACCAAACTTAGCATTAATACTCAATATGCCCAAATGTGAACACTGGTGGGGTTTTGGGAAAATAGACTTGACATTTGGAGTAGTAGTTGTTGGCATTTATAGTTCACCTACAATTAAAGAGCATTTTGAACACCACCAATGAAAGAATTGGGCCAAACTTCTCACATAGAACCCTAATGACCAACAGACAATACTATGAGTCTTTTTGTTGTTCATTCATTCAGTCGTTTCCGACTCTTCGTGACCTCATGGACCAGCCCACGCCAGAGCTCCCTGTCGACCGTCACCACCCCCAGCTCCTTCGAGTTCAATCCAGTCACTTCAAGGATGCCATCCATCCATCTTGCCCTTGGTCGGCCCCTCTTCCCTTTTCCTTCCATTTTCCCCAGAATAATTGTCTTCTCTACACTTTCCTTTCTTCTCATGATGTGGCCAAAGTACTTCATCTTTGCCTCTACTATCCTTCCCTACAATTTTAGTCAGGTTTTATTTCCTGAAGTATGGACTGGTTGGGTCTTCTCGCAGTCCAAGGCACTCTCAGAACTTTCCTCCAACACCACAGTTCAAAAGCATCTATCTTCCTTCGTTCAGCCTTCCCTAAGGTCCAGCTCTCACATCCGTAGGTGACTATGGAGAATACCATTGCTTTAACTATACAGATCTTTGTTGCCAGTGTGATGTCTCTACTCTTCACTATTTTATCGAGATTGGACATTGCTCTCCTCCCAAGAGTCTACACTGCCATATAATCCAATTCAAAGCAGATAATCTGTATTTTATATGGGAGTGTGAAAGGGGCCTTGCACTGCTTGTAGTACAATCACTCCTGGGGGAGGGGCATTTCTGTCCAAAGTGTAGATAATGCCATTGGAGCCCTGATAAATGAAATGATAATAATAATAATAATAATAATAATAATAATAATAATAATAATTTTTGTAAACTGCCCTATTTCCCCTATGGGACCCATTGTGCTTTCCAACCAGTCAAAACCCTTAGGACTGATTCTTCCCACCGACACAAGTCCACCCCAAGACCTTTTGGATAACCATTCCTGCCTCCATCTAACCAAGAAGTTACCCAATGGTGCCTCCTGAAGCGAGAAATTCCCCCTGCTCTATACCAGGGCGTAAATATATATATATTCAGAGAAACAGCAGACTTCCTTGCCATCTTGCCTTGCCACTCTTAGGAGAATACGTGTCTTTCGGAGCTTATCAGTGCTTCCTCTTCAGGACTGCAACTCCAGCTAGGTTGGCTGGAAATAATGGGTATTTCCCAAGTTTTTTTTCTCCTCAGCTCCATCAATTCCTTCATTTTCTCTGTATTGGCAAACCAGAGCAGGAGAATGTGTGGCTCGACAAACTTTTTGTAGACCCCAAACCTCTAGGACATGCCCCAAATACCTAGTTATTATTACCCAGCACTCAAGTCACTACACATTACTGGTTCTCCACTTTGGCAGGAAAAACGAAATGCAAAGATACAGAATGGGGGACGCCTGGCTCAAGAGCAGTACGTGTGAAAAAGATCTTGGAGTCCTCGTGGATAACAAGTTAAACATGAGCCAACAGTGTGATGTGGCGGCAAAAAAAAGCCAATGGGATTTTGGCCTGCATCAATAGGAGCATAGTGTCTAGATCAGTGGTTCTCAACCTGGGTCCCCAGATGTTTTTGGCCTACAACTCTCAGAAATCCCAGCTAGTTTACCAGCTGTTAGGATTTCTGGGAGTTGTAGGCCAAAAACATCTGGGGACCCCAGGTTGAGAACCACTGGTCTAGATCTAGGGAAGTAATGCTACCACTCTGTTCTGCTTTGGTTAGACCACACCTGCAATACTGTGTCCAATTCTGGCCACCACAATTCAAGAGAGATATTGACTAGCTGGAATGTGTCCAGAGGAGGGTAACTAAAATGATCAAGGGTCTGGAGAACAAGCCCTATGAGGAGAGGCTTAAGGAGCTGGGCATGTTTAGCCTGAAGAAGAGAAGGCTGAGAGGAGATATGATAGCCAAGCCATGCATAAATATGTGAGAGGAAGCCACAGGGAGGAGGGAGAAAGCTTGTTTTCTGCTTCCCTGGAGACTAGGACACGAAACAATGGCTTCAAACTACAAGAGAGGAGATTCCATATGAACATGAGGAAGAACTTCCTGACTGTGAGAGCCATCCAGCAGTTGAACTCTCTGCCCCGGAGTGTGGTGGAGGCTCCTTCTTTGGAAGCTTTTAAACAGAGGCTGGATGGCCATCTGTCAGGGGTGATTTGAATGCAATATTCCTGCTTCTTGGCAGAGGGTTGGACTGGATGGCCCATGAGGTCTCTTCCAACTCTTTGATTCTATGATTCTATGATCTCATCCTACTTTACAGTATAGTGCGGAAAATCCCAGGAGGAGGACAGCCCTATCTTGAACTAAGTGAAGGAAAGTGAGGATAGAAATGGGACAAAAAAGAGTCTCAGAATGATTACTTCTAGTATAGCCTATTCAACAATCCTGTAAGGAGGGATACATATGATCTATATTTTAGATCATGAGTCACAGAACGATCTATCTCAAAAATGTTTGAACCCTGGTCCTTTGGAGTTCTAATCCAATGCTATAAACACAACACCACCCTGACTCTCTAAGGCACCTAGAATCATAGAAGCATAGAGTTTGAAGAGACCTCATGGGCCAGCCGGTCCAACCCTCTGCTAAGAAGCAGGAAAATCGTATTCAAAGCACCCCTGATAGATGGCCATCCAGCCTCTGCTTAAAAGCCTCCAAAGAAGGAGCCTCAACTAGACTGCTATTTCTCTGGTGTGGAGATGAAAATAACCCTAAACCTAGCAAAAACATTTCAAAAAACTTGCTTTTTCATTCACAACCTGCTTCTCAGTTAAGGAAGAAGTTGTTGAAAATAGACCAAAATTAAAGTTAAACCAAATCTGGAAATGATTCCAAGGAGAGTGAGTGTAGTGGTTTGAGTGTTTGGGTCATCATAAGTTGGGTCATCATAAGTTGGAAAAAACGGAAGGCACACAACAACAAATATCAACTGACTTCACAAACTCTTAGGTAACCCATAGAGTGCAGTACATTATAGTTACTATTTCCCTTTGTAAGCAAAATTTCTTTGGAAGCTATACCTGCTTGCTCTTTTTGGTGGCAATCCTGGATTCACTTTTAAAAGGGTGGAAATTTGCAGCCAACAGCAGTTTTAGAGCAAACTACCCGCTTGAATTGGGCTGGATGGTAGATTTAGGATTGTAAATAGAGGGAAATTATCAAAAGCCATTCTCCCTCCCTGTCCGCTGTGCTCCCAGCCTGCATGACTGCTTTCTCCTAAGAATATAAACAATTGGCATTAAAACATACCTTTTTCTGAATAGTATTCTCAACCTAGTGTTTTTTTCATCTTTGAAGCAACTGTGAAACTGCAAGTCGCTTTTGGTGTGAGATAATTGACCACCTGCAAGGATGTTGCCCAGGGAATGCCCGGATGTTTTGATGTTTTATCATCCTTGCGGGAGGCTTCTCTCATGTCCCCGCATGGGGAGCTGGAGCTGACAGAAGGAGCTCATCCGCACTCTCCCCGGATTTGAACTACCGACCTGTCGGTCTTCAGTCCTGCCAGCAAAAGGGTTTAACCCACTGTGCCACTGGGGGCTCCAACCTAGTGTGATGTTGCTTCTTTACAGGGGAGTAAACCTCATGAAAAACAGCGAGAGTATCTTCCTAGTTCAACTAGGAATCTAGTTGAACTAGGAAGCTAGTTGTCATTAGATTGCAGTGTTCGGCTTGTGTCTTGGGTTATAAAGTCTTCCTCTGTTGGTCCCATAATGGAAGAATTGAGCACATGCCTAACCTAAAAGTATTCAGAGAAATATTCAGCTTTCACTGGATCAAATCCACAAAAAAGAGCCAGAACACAGCTGTAACCATCTCCTCTAAGATAGGTTCGTTCCCTCCCTTAAACTTGTCTGATTGCCTTTAGTTTCGCGTTTCAAATCAAAGGGAATCCCTAAGCTGAGTCAAATAACTTAAAGTAAAAAATTAGGAAGTGAAGCAGGACGTTTCCTTATAATTGATATTAAACACACAGAGACTTGCAACAACCCATATGCCTTTCTGATCTTGCTTCGTAAATTGAACAAACTCTTACCAACCATGTGTTTTTGATTTCTTCCCTTGGCAAAGGGATCGCGTTGTTTCTGACCTAAACTAGGCAAAGAAAGAAGAGCAGAGAGTCCCCAAACAGAGTTGAAAACACTATTTTGGAATGGAATTCACTTCAAAATAATCTTTGCTTCCTGATTAGAGATCAGATTAGATACCCAGAGATTCTGTTTATGGTGTTTTTCAGGCAGAGAGTGAATTCTTTCCACCTGAAAACACACCATCGACGTGATCTTGCCGCCTCGGTATCTGACTCCTCGCAATTCGTGGCACAAAATTCTCACTTCCAACTTTGGTTTACAAACAGAAAGACAGGCAGAATATTCGCGCTCCATCCACTGCTCCCCCGAATCCTTTGCCGGGATGACAGCAAAAGAGAGAGGCAGCAAGGATGATGCTGAAGTGGAAGAACTTAAAGTTTTGCTTACCAACTCAGAATCCTCTCTGGCCTTGCCTCTTGCCAGCTTCCCTGAGAGAAAAGCAGAAGGGCTTCACCCCGGAGAAGGTTGGACCACCACCAACGTCACCTTAGGGTTTATGCCATGGAACTTTCTCCCTGCCTTGCATAGAGAAGCAAGCAAGGCGCTCTCGGCTCATGGCACTGTAATGAGCTGCCTTATTTTTGTGTGACTAATGAGGGTGTGGTTTGAGCCCTGATGTTGTGCAAGGAGAAAGGAATCCTTTTCGAGTAGTGAAGGCGGGTATGTGTGTGTGTGTATGTGTGGACTTATGTTTTTTGCTCAGCCGGTTTTGCAGCTGATTGGGCTCCAATATGGTGCCTAGGGGCTAATGGAGTTTCTGATCCCCCCCCCCCTTCCAAAAGCCCTATCATAACAAACAATACATCTTCTTCTCCCTTTTGAGGATGAGGGAAGCCCCTCTTTTGGGATACCGGTCCTTGCTTAATGGGCTGCTTTGGGCAGGCCTGGGTGCCAAGGCTCTTTGGAAATTGCACCAGAATGCGGGAAGGAACAGATGAGCATTGCTGCCCTATTTCTTTTCCCCTCATTATAAATGTACTGCATACGTGGCTCTTGGAGAGCAAAGGAAAGCACCTAGCTCTCTGCCCCAAGGAGCATACATCCTGATTTCAACCACAGAATGGAGAAGAGGAGAAGAAGGAGAGGCAAGGATGAGGAGAGAGGGAAGAGATTGATTTCATGGATGCTTTGTTAGGATGAAGAAAAGTTCTGATGAACTTGAAAGCTTATTCTGACATTGCAGCTGGTCATTTTTGGATGTTGTCCTAATGGGGTGATACAGCTTCTTATAAACTTAGGCTATCCGAGGTTGGCTTGCTTCTCCCATTTAAAGCAGAAGCAGTTAAACAAACCACAAAATGTTGGCTTGTGTTTTTGTTTATAGCAATATCCAAATTAATCAGTGTTCTGGCTTGGTTTTTCCCCAGTAACTTGGAGAAGGAATTCATGGCTTGTCTTGGGTTTCTTTTTCTGGCTTGTGTTGGGGAGAAACAAGCCAGAGTACCATTGCCTGCTGGCTTTTGGATGTTACCATAAATGAGGGAGTTTGTCCTGAAATTTGTTTAGCCACTTTTAGCTCCTAGTAGGACCACACTACTCTATATCTATCTATCTATTAGGCCTGGGTAACAACGGAAAAATTTGTTTCTAAAATCGATTCGTTTTTTGGGTTTTTTGGGGTTTCGATATTTAAAAGAATTCCGAATTTTTTTTAAAAAAAGTTCGATATTTACGAAATTTGGTAAATGGTAAAAAAATTACAAAACAATAACGAAACAATAACGAATCGATTCGTTTATGGCTGACGCGACTGCGCAATACGCTAAAAAACCTCCAAATGGGACAGGGGGAACTTCTGAAGCTTCCCTTTCCCTCTGTTGTTGACTGTTGGTGTGATATTATAATTTTTTTCACTAATTAAACAAAAAACAACTATAAAACTTGCCCCAGACATGCGGAAATAATAACGAAACGACCTCAAACCAATAACGAAACGAATACATAACGAAATACGAAGCATTTACGAAACGAATTGAAAAATTCGTTTCGTTTTTAAGTTGCTCCAGAATGGTTCGTTATCGCTTCGTTAAAAAAAATAACGAATTTTTAACGAATTACGAATTAACGAAACGAAACCGCCCAGCCCTACTATCTATCTATCTATATATCTATCTATCTATATCTATCTATCTATCTATCTATCTATCTATCTATCTATCTATCTACATCTATCTATCTATCTATCTATCTATCTATCTATAAATGCTCTGTGCATAATGAGTACCTTAAAAACAAAAGAACCAATGAACAAAATCACACCAAATTTGGCAACAAAACGTATCACCACACAAGGAGTGACCATCACTTAAAAAACTATGATTTTATCATTTGGGAGTTGTAGTTGCTGGGATTTATAGTTCATCTACAATCAAAGAGCATTCTGAACTCCATCAATGATGGAATTGAACCAAACTTGGCACACAGAACTCCCATGACCAACAGAAAATACTGGAAGGGTTTGGTGGGCATTGACCTTGAGTTTGGGAGTTGTAGTTCACCTACATCCAGAGAGCACTGTGGACTCAAAAATGATGGATCTGGACCAAACTTGGCACAAATATTCCATATGCCCAAATATGAACACAGATGGAGTTTGGGAAAATAGACCTTGACATTTGGGAGTTGTAGTTACTGGGATTTATAGTTCACCTGCAATCAAAGAGCGTTCTGAACCCCACTAACGACAGAATTAACCCAGCACCTCAATTCATGAGTGATACCAGATGAAAGACTCCATCCTGGGCACACAGAAGACTGGGCAGCTTGGAAGGTGCTGAACAGACTGTGCACTGGCACCACGAGACGCAGAGCCAACCTTCAGAAATGGGGCTACAAAGTGGAATCCACAAATGCGAGTGTGGAGAGGAGCAAACCACAGACCACCTGCTGCAATGCAACCTGAGCCCTGCTACATGCACAATGGAGGACCTTCTTGCAGCAACACCAGAAGCACTCCAAGTGTCCAGATACTGGTCAAAGGACATTTAATCAACTACCAAGTTTGCAAAATCTGTGTTTTTTTATCTGTTTATTTGTTTTGTTCTGTTAGAAATGTAATACTATGGTATGGTTGCTGATGACACGATACATAAAAAATAAATAAAAATCATCATCATCATCAATGGGGACTCGGGGCAGCTTACACGAGGCCAAGCCCAACAAAGCAGTACAATAAAATAAAATTAAAAACAAACAACAACAAATAAAATACATAATAAACAATACAAAATTACAATAAAATCCTTCACAATTACAGTGACGGTGAGCGGGCCGCATGTACAGACAAAATACTAAAACTAAGAAAAGGCTTACTAAAACTAAGAAAAGAACTCAGGATGAGATAGACATGGAGCAAATTGTGTGTGTGGGAGAAGCTCATCAGGCTGGGGTCAAAAAAGGACCTTCATACCGGAGGGGGGAAGTGTACTATAGAAACTAACATTGAGGGGGAGCAGCAATATAAGCTTGTATGGTTACTCTCCAAAAAGCAACAGGAAAGCCAAGTTTTGAGATCCTTCTTGAAGGTTTCTAAGGTGGGGGCTCACCTAATCTCACCGGGCAATGAGTTCCAAAGTCAGGGGGCCACAGAGGAGAATACTCTCTCCTTTGTTCCCGCAAGGCAGGCCTGTGAAAATGGCAGGGGTGAATCATAGAATCAAAGAGTTGGAAGAGACCTCATGGGCCATCCAGTCCAAACCCCTGCCAAGAAGCAGGAATATTGCATTCAAATCACCCCTGACAAATGGCCATCCAGCCTCGGTTTAAAAGCTTCCAAAGAAGGAGCCTCCACCACACTCCGGGGCAGAGAGTTCCACTGCTGAACGCTCTCACAGTCAGGAAGTTCTTCCTCATGTTCAGATGGAATCTCCTTCTTGTAGTTTGAAGCCATTGTTCCGCGTCCTAGTCTCCAGGAAGCAGAAAACAAGCTTGCTCCCTCCTCCCTGTGGCTTCCTCTCACATATTTATACATGGCTATCATATCTCCTCTCAGCCTTCTCTTCTTCAGGCTAAACATGCCCAGTTCCCTAAGCCGCTCCTCATAGGGCTTGTTCTCCAGACCCTTGATCATTTTACTCGCCCTCCTCTGGACACATTCCAGCTTGTCAATATCTCTCTTGAATTGTGGTGCCCAGAATTGGACACAATATTCCAGGTGTGGTCTGGAAAGGAGAGCCTCCTCCGAAGATCGGAGGGATCGGGCAGGTTCATGGAGGGCGATACGATCACAAAGGTAGGCGGATCCTAAACCATTTAGGGCTTTATAGTTAATAACCTGTACCTTGAATTGGGACCGAAAAATGAACGGCAGCCAATGGAGCACCTTAAACAGGAGGGTTGACCGCTCCCTGTAATTCGCCCCTGTTATTCATCTGGCTGCCAAGCTTTGGACAAGTTGTAATTTCCGAGCCATCTTCAAAGGTAGCCCCACATAGAGTGCATTGCAGTAGTCCAATCTAGAGGTAACTAAGTGGTCAAGTTCTGGATAGGGCTTGGAAGAGTCCCCTTTCCTTGTCCTCTCAAGGTTAGTTTCCCAACATCTAGGGCCCATCCAGACAGTAACTTTATTGCGGAAACTTCCACAATAAAAAGGGGGCTGTCCAGAGAACATTCTGGACAATCCCGAATTAATTCGCCACAAACCAGGAAAACCCTGGTTTGTGGTGAATTAATTTGATAGTAGTTTTATTCTGCACCTTCTTGGAAGGCACGGAATAACCCCACAACGTCTAGTGTCTGGACTCCAGTACAGACACCATTCCCACAGTTTTCTGGACTAAATTAAAATAAACTTACCTGGCCTCCATTATAGTCTTGCCAGAGCTCTCCCAGCATGTAGAAATGACAAGCCAAGAGAGCCGGGGGGGGGGGGGGGGGGGGGGGGGGGGAGGAGAGGAATACTTCATTTCTACGCGCAGAAAGAGTTCCAGCAAAACTATAATGGAGGCCAGGTAAGTTTATTTTACTTTTAAAAGGGGTTTGGGGGCTGTGGGGAAAAGAGTCCTCAGATGCTTTGCCGGGCCAGTCCTGGCAGAACATCTGGACACCCACCCTAGAAAGAACATGCTTTCTGGGCTGGTTGTAGGCAGGCCCCCATGAACACGGATGCTCCTGGCATAAAGGGCTGTCTGGAACCACCCCTAGTCTTAGAAGAAATGTGACTCATTATGATATGCAAACCACATAAGCAGGGCCGTAGTCAGAAAAAAAATTTGGGAGGGGTTGAAATTTTCGGGGGGGGGGAGGGTTCAAAAATTTCGCGGGCTCCTAGCTCACGCTGAAGCAAAGAGCACAGCAGGGGTAGAGCAGCCTTCAATAGCCTGCAGCTCCACCCTTGTCAACCACCTCCACCAAGTCTGGCCTCCTTAATGAGAGCATTCAACTCCCCCCTCCCCCCCCCCCAACTTGGTTGCTTCACTACTGTTCTGTCGCGTGCTGGGCCTGTAAATAATTGTCTTTAGAACAGGATGTGCAACCTTTGCCCAGCGGGAAGCCAGGGGGCCTAAAGAGAAGTTCTCAGAGGTTTCCACCACAAACAGTCTTTAGATGGCTTGAGAAGTACAACAAAGTCTTTTATTAATGAACAATCAAACAGAAACTTCTCTTGTCTTCAGTAAAGTTAAGCAAATGATTCCAAGCTTTTAGGCAACTG